ATATCATCCCTTTGAAATGACAATTTCCACATCCAATCTGTGTGTAAATCTAATTAACATTAACGGAATCAAATAACTTTTCTCTCAGACATGTACTATGAGTGCTTTAAAAGATACTGGAGATTTGAGGGTTGCAACCAGTTTTGGATTCATGACATTCAGAGACTGAGTGTCATTTCGCCCAGAAATAATAAAGAAAGCCCTTTTAATTAAATGTTTATGCAATTTTTGCAGTATCTCAGAGGCTCAGTACAGATGTAATGCTGCCCAAACATCATTAGCATTAACCAGGACTTGCAAACCAGTTTCTAATCTTACTTTTAAAGCTATCTATGATTAATGCCAGTACAGAAATAATCCTGTATTGTATTTAATACTAACCAGGGAGGAGAAATTCACATGGACAAGAAGAGAATAAAGAAGTGCACAACTGGGGAAAGCTCCCAACCTGTTAACCTTGATTAGAAAGCTACTAGCATTGTGTCTACACTGGGCCAAAACGGACAACTATGTAGTTGTTCTGGGACTAGATGAATTTGACTAAAGAATTTGTTGTTAATTAACATCAGTTGACAGTCTAGTAAGAAGGCCATCTGGGAATTTAAAGATCTGGGGTTGGGAGAAGGAGAGAAGGCAAAAAGGGGGGGAAAGAGAAGCTGTCTGTAAATATGGTTGTTTCATAAAAGAGAAGCCAGCATGACCGCTCATTTTACACCTCACCAACAACCTGAGCTAAATGCAAAACCTCAAAGCAAGAGATTTAACGAAATATGATGAGGTTTTTGAGCTGTAGGTTTTTTGCTGCGCGTGTGTTTTAAAGAAGATATACATAAAGGTACTAAAACAAATTGTGCTCCGCTTCCCACGCTGTTTTGCAGACAGCTTTAATGTGTTGTACCAGACCAATACTGACAACAGAGGCTTCGGCTTTTATTGCTGCTAATACCCTAAGCAATTACTGTTGCTCAGCAGGAACTTCTGCCCAGAATGGCAACTACTGCACTGCAATTCAACGTTTTTGCAGAAGAGATTCCTCCTGTGCACCAAGGTACCTGCTAATGTGCAAAATTGCATAAATGGAGCTTAAAACATTATTCAAGCTCGGTAGCTTAAAAACTATCACTTTATTTAAAAGAATACCAGAGCATTTCTCATGTCACAGTATTACTGAATTTGCCAGAGAATGAAAATTTGGGATGCGACAGAAATTGAAAAGCAACAAAAAAAAAGCAGAAAAAAAAAAAAGCTGGACTGCCTCCAAAAATCAGAAGGATGTGAAAAATTACCTGTAAGGAGAGAAACTGTACATAATTGAGATCTCCGGGGGGTAAAAATAGCAGACACATAAATATTGAAACAAGCTGTCAAAGTAACCAGAGAAAGGAAGCGCATTTCTCCCACACTGCAGCTTTACAAAATTTACCAGCAGGAAGGGAGGACCATGGGCGGGTGTGGGGAAGACAGGGGGGGGGGGGGGGTGGCGGCGGCGAGGGGATGAGAAAGAAAAAAGTGCAGTTGGTAGAAACAGATGGTGGGTTGCATGGATGAGTAACATGCCACCCAAACCAGTGTAGTTATTTAGGTTTTAAAAAGTGATCCCTTTCTGACCTCAAAAGAAACTATCCCCCCTCCCCCCCAAAGCTGCCATGCTTGTTCTCTTAGGTACAGATGAGAACTGGCAGCAGGAACAGACGTGTGCATCTTGATGGCTGCTTTTCGGCTCATGCTGGGCAGGCCCAGGTTTCAAGAAATGTGGGAAGGAAGCAACCCTCCATTATACAAAAAGGAAGAAGAGGACAAGACAGGAGGAAAAACTGGCAACCTGGTGTTTCCCAGTCGTTTGGGACTACCACTCCCATCATCTCAAGCCAAAACGCAGCAGCCTGCATCGTCTTGCCTTCCAGGCAAGGCGGGAAGTGGCTTGATGAAGAGAGACTGGGAGATCATTCCAGGCAAAGGATATTTGTGGGTGGCAATGTTCATGTAAGACCTGCGCTCGAAACCCATCGCCTAGGCGGCCGTGAAGCCCAGCGTGTGGAGTGGTGCTTAAGAGCGCAGGGCTGGATCTCAGGCGATGATCTGCGTTCTGGTCTCCGTTCGGTCATGGAGCCAACTAGTTGACTTTGGACCAGACACAGACTTTCAGTCCAACCTAACTCACAGGGTTGTTGTTGTGGGAATAAGACTGAAAGCAAGAGGAGGGAAATTACGTGAGACGCTTTTAATCTGTCTAAGAAAAAAGTAGAAAATGCATCTAATAAATAAATAAATGCAGCAAATGAAGTTCTCTGCCTGAGACCCTGGAAAAACAGTTTATCGATTGACAAATATTTTTATACCACAGGTCAGTCTTGCTCTCAAGGCCAGTTACATTAAGCATGTAAGGAAAATACAGCCCAGCAAAGGCAGCAGATTCTCAAAATCAACATCACCACTGTGCTGTATTTCTATCCCGCCTTTTTATCTCTGACAAGGAACCCGTTGCAGCTTCTTTGGTTAGCCATCTCCCTGTTTTCTCTTCACACATCCCCGTGGGAGCAAGTGAGGCTGAGAGTCCGGGACTGGCCCAAATCAACGCATTTGGCTCCATGGCCAAGCAGGGACTAGAGTCCCAGGCCAACCCTTTGAGTGCTCTCCCATACTGGAGCAATTGGAAAATGCTCTCCAAACAGTTTGAAGAAATAAAGTTTCTTTCCAGTAGCCAAAAATCATTAAGGAGGCCATTCCTACTAGTAAGTCCCCAAAATTGCCTGCAAAATTTCCCGTTACTCTTAAGTGGGATCTTGTGCAGGCCAAGAACACAGCAGTCCAAAGAAGGGAAGCAGCACTGAACGCCTCCCTGCCAGCCCTCCTCATTTCCACAGGGACAACTAGGTGTCGCTTCCTGCATGCCCACCATAAAAGTCAGCTAGGCTAGTGAAGCATGAAGACGGTCCTGTTCTGCTGGAGCAGTCTGCCTCTCCTCTAGCTGTGGAGGTGTCTGGACAGGTCTGATCGAGAGCCAGTGTGGCATTGTGGTTAAGAGCCTGGGACTCAGATGATCTGGGTTCAAGTCCCCGCTCCGCCATGAAGCCAACTGGGTGACTTTGGGCCAGTCACAGACTCTCAGCCCAACCTACCTCACAGGGTCGCTGTTGCGGGGCTAAGATGGAGGAGGAGAATGATGTAAGCTGCCTTGAGCCCTTTGTAGGAAAAAGGCAGGATATTAATCGAAAAATAAATAAATAAATCTCCTTCTGTACTGAACACAGAACTCGTCCATAGTTAGTACAAGAGTCGATTCACGGACAAAAGAGGAAACGCATCCATGCTCAGCCTCCTCCCAAACTAGCTGTGGAAAAAGGTGCCATTGTTTTCCTTGAAGCAAGCTGATCAAGCCAGAGAAAAAGCTCACTCAGCAGGAAGGAAGGCAAGAGGGAATTCCTTGCATTCCCACTGGTGACCAGCATTTCCATGGAGGTAACCAGGTGTGCGTGAGGTAGGTGCCAGGCAAAAATAGCTAGGAAAAGCATTCCGCACTTGGGAAACCACACCTTGCCAGGTCCTGATCACCCTCCTCCTCAACTGGGAGCCAACTCAGACGGCAGGGGCCTCAGCAAAGGGCATCTTCTGAGACCTTTGTGTATTCGTCTTAAATGTGACTGATTAAGCAGAAAGGCAGGCAGGGCTGGATGGATGGATGGATGGTGTGGTCAGGTCCAAGCTGCTTCTTATGTCCGTGTGTAACTGCACAATGTTCAACAGGTGGCACACCAGGGAAGTACAATATTTACCTTTCACTGTTCATCAAGATCATATTTCAATGGTCATCAAAGCACCAGACGTGCACAAGGACGTCTTAACTGCAGCAACAGTCCTGTTCTCACCCACCCCTAATTATATGAAGTAAAGCCAAGTAACAACCTATATCCAACCTCACAGTGCAACCCCGCCTCCCCTGCCGCACATACACAGCCAGGGCATTGGGAAAAAAAAAAAAAAAAACACTATGAAAGCAAGTCACAAGAACCAAGGTTGCAGAGACTAGGAAGGGCAGAGAAGCTTTGGTTCTGGACAAGCATTCTGTGAAAAGTTCCTGAAATCCATCCTCAGGAAAAGACAGCCTACTCTTTTCCTCTTCCAAATTCCTTACCTGTCGGCAACTCTTCCCTTCCAGACAAGGAGGCCATGCGGAAGCAAGAGATTTTGCACGGATGGCAAAAAGGGTATTTCCATCTTGCGAAAAACCACCTGACAGGTCACCAAGAGGGGATTCTGCCCAACCTATATTGCCCCTTCCCTAGTTCCTATAAAGCATGAAGTTCCAAATACCCGTCTCCAAAGACACTCAGCTCATGGACAGACACCCCACACATCCTTAAACACCTTTTGATCGGACAGGTTCGTCACCCGTCTGTCCATTGTAGCCCTTCTGCTACACACCAGAAAATGAGACAGTTTCTGAGCATGCTTCCATCTCCACTTTGCTATTGCCTGAAGCTTACCTCAGGGACAAGCCCCAAGCTGCCCCCTTAGTTCAAGTTGTACTGAACTAAGTTAGAATTGTAACTGAGGGGGTAGGAGAAGCTGTTTGTTTCCCCTGATGCGGCTGTTCCTTCTCTACTTGCCTAATTGTAAAGTCCTTCAAAAACACTTAAATCAGAATTCTTCACGTAACCACAGAGTCTGCAAATTCAGGAACTGTCTCAACTTCTTGCCTTCTATGTGCCAAGTGATTAAGGAGAACGAAAGGCAAACTGCCATCAGCTCTGTCTCCTTTTCCGTAAAGTAGATTCTGCAGATCTGGCTTCTAAGGATTCAAGATTTAGGGAAAGGATGGTGGCAATGGTGACAGGTTTAAGAAGGAAAGGTCCCGATGCCTGTTCTGTAAGAGAAGCATGAGTGGGCTTTCTGTTGTACTGCTGCAGGGGGGGAGTGGGAATGAAGACATGCCATCATATTCAGGAGAGAGAGAGAGAGTTATGCTTTTTTTAAAAAGAAAAGTAGGTATCACTGCTTACCAATTTGAAGTCTTGAATGCTACAGATGAAGTATGGTGTATTTGGTCGGCGACTTTCAATGTACACGCAATCTTTAAAGAAAAGAAAAGAATGGTTTCATTTAAATTGCTGGCCATTATATTTCCTATCTTGGCATGGATAAACATATACAGCAGAGAATCATTAGTACAAAATGCAATCTGGTACGCAGAAACGAAATATAAGCAATCTATTATAATACATTTAGAAGTAGCATTGCACAAGCTTTCATGGAAATTCCCATGGGTACTCTGCCATAAAAACAGGCAAAGTTAAGTGTTCTCCCATAATTAAAGATGATGTGATGACCAGATAACCACCAGAGAGCCATGCCAAACAAGATGGGAAACAAATTTCTGGTGGCTAAATTGCTATCAAAAATCAAGCAATGATAACCCCATTTTCCCTTCTTATTACAAAGACTACCCAATCATTATTCCCAGTAAGCGAGGTAAGCAACATCAGAATTCCTTTGCAAGAAGCACAACGTTCTCATAGAAACCGAAATGAGACCAACAGGAACTGTGACTACTTGCACTGGCATCAAGAGGGCGGATTTGACTGCAGAAAGCAGGAAAGCCTACTCAGATACTCACAGAACAAAGACTAGCCCTACCTCAAGGTCTGGAGTGAAGTTTCAGCATCAGTTATATAACTCTTCCTCTTCCTGGCTGCAATCCTTGATGTCCGCAGCCCAGAAGCATTTCTGGTGATGCCAGTGGACTCCACAATAGCAGCGCAAAGGCTGCAGCATCTATACCTGAACGACTGTGCTGTCCTGCTTGGGGAGCACATGGGCCCAGGGTCATCACAGCAGCAGATATCAAACCTGCATCTGTGAACAACCCAGGGTGAATCAAGCTCCCCTGACAGAACTATTCTTGCAACTCAAATGCAACCTTTTTTCTAATGCGTCCTTTCACAGTTTCAACTGAAGTTGATCCATTCCTACCTGTGTGGTCAATTCCAGAAGGTGTGCTGAGGACGACTACCTGACTCTTTGGCAGTGAGCCCATGGGGTCCTATGGTTCTTCACGTCTACATTAAATGGCTGAGTGAGGTCATCAGGAGATTCAGGTTAAGAGACCTCAATAGGCAGATGATAAACGGCTCCATTTCTCTTTTTCATCTAATTCAAGTGAGGAATGAAAATGCTAAATTGGGGTTTAAGTGCAGTAATGGCACAGGTGTCAGCCAGCAAAGAGATGCTCAGTCCAAGTAAGCTGGGAGTGCAGTTGGTAGACAGGCTGCCTGCCTTGGTGAGTGGTACTCACCATAGATGCCACAGATGGGGTTACACACCTCCTGACGGAATGCACTGCAGTTGTACCTGCCCCTACCTGGACACCTCCTCTCCAGATCCCTTTGCAACTGAGCTGCAGTGGGTGGCTAGGAAAAAAGGGCTTTCGAAAGCTGTCCCCAGAGGAGCTTCCTTCTAACCTTTTAAACTTTAGATTTGTTTTATTTTAATCTTTTTTTAAGAGAGTCCCCCTCTTTAGTTTAATTATTAGTTTGGATAGTGCATTTTAAAACAATGGTTCATTGTAAGTCAATCAGACCAGGTATAAACCTGAACAAATGAATAAACGTAGAGCCATTGTTCTCTTGATCAACAGAGCTCTAATCAGAGTACAGAGCTTCAAACACTTCCAGCTGGGACAGCAACTCAACAACAAAAGCTTTTCCCACTACTACGTATTTTCTACCAGAAAACTTACTATTTCTAAAAGGATGTTTTTCCATAAAATTACATACACGTAACAGTGGTGACAGCACCAGTCAAACTAAACCATTTCACTTTTTTTTTTCTTCTTCGATTTATATCCTGCCTTTTTCCTACAAAGGGCTCAAGGCAGCTTGCATCATTCTCCTCCTCCATCTTATCCCCACAACAACAACCCTGTGGGGTAGGTTGGGCTGAGAGTCTGTGACTGGCCCAAAGTCACCCAGTTGGCTCCATGGCTGAGTGGGGACTCAAACGCAGATCGCCTGAGTCCCAGTCCCATGCTCTTAACCACTACACCACACTTTTTGAAATCGAATGCTAAATCAGTACAGGTGGAGGTCCCCAAACTGCTGCCTGCAAAGCTCCCCAGTAGCTACCCTCTCCAAAAATGTATTTTTAATTTTAAAAACTTAAAAGCAGGTTATGGAGCTGGGTTCTCCTTTGTTTCCGATTAGCTGTTCAGTGGAGAAGAAGCAAGGGAAAGCGCTCCGCCCTGGCCTCACCCACACAGTTTTCCGCTCTCCTTTCTTCCTTTGCTCACAACTTCCAGCCTTGCTTCTCCTCTCTGCCCACCTTGCTAATATTCCCACTCCCCCTCCTCTAGCCTCCTCTCTTCACAACCCTCTTCGCCCGGCTGTTTCTCCCCCTCCAGTCGTCTACTCCTCTCTTTACCCCTTAGCCTTGCTACCTCTCCCTCCAGCCCAAGCTCTAGTTTGGCAGTTCTCTGGCTAGGCCTCCACGACAGCCATTAAATGACTGGATGCATCGCCCCCGTGAGCACTTTCGCCATGGCGCTTGCAGTGGCTTCTCACATCCCACAATGTGCCCATGGCTCTCAAAAGGTTCGGGACTCCTGGTTGAGGCCAGCAGGAAATCTTCTGCTCCAGTACTTGATGGAAAGCAATACCGCTGCACAGCAACCTCTCTCATGGGAAATCAGGTGGCACGAGAGACCTATTCACACTCGGCTACCCACTATAAAGCACCTTCCGTTCTCAGGCTGAACGACTTTCCCGGAGGATGGCCATCAAGTTCTCCACACAACCAGGCTGTGACCTGCCTGCCTGCTTGCTTTCCGCCAGACAGCGGCCTGCTTTCTGTGTCAGGCAGAGCACCAACGAGTTCCTCCCTTCCTTTCCCAGCCCTGGTTGCAATCCATAGGATTCTCCCTCGCAGGCTCCCTCAATCCCACTACGTGGCATCAGAGGGAACTGGGAGGGAGGGAGGGAGGGAACGTCTTTGTGTGCCCGTTTTCCAGGGAGGCAATACAGAGCTCCCCACCAGCTTGATTTCTGTTCAGCTGATTCAACTGCCCAGGAGCTACAGATGGTTCCCGAGGCATCCCTTGACCACTCCTCCAGTTACACAGGCCGCCTCTTCTCTCTCCCCACTTCTCTCTTTTTCTCTGGAAGCATGCACGCTGTCCTGCCAAGAGGCATATCTGTGAATAATCCTCACGCAGAAGATACTGCAAGCTCTCTCCCCTCATTGCTTTAATACCTAATTGTTGTAGGAGTGGGAGGGAAGGGGGGGGGGCTCGGAGAGAGAGAGAGAGTCAAGCAATAGCACTCATTCTACATCTCCTTTTTACAGCCAGCAATTCTACAAGTGCATTATCTTCACAATAAAGTCTCTTACGTTTATGGAAATATGCCTTTCATCCTGAAAGATTATATACCACAAGCTGAAATTGAGGCCGTATGCTGAGGAATTAATTTCTTCGATCACTGGAGGAGGAGGGAGGGAGGGAAGGAGGGTGAGAGAAAGAAACCCAACCACCTCAAGGGATAAAGACTCTGCAACTGCTTAAGTGTGATACCACAAAATGATTCAACAGGGGAAATGCTTAAAAACAAACTGACATTAAAGAATGAATTTAGATAAGCTGAGAGTATTATCGAAGATGGGATTCGACGCAGTTTCAGCCTCCAGCTCCTTTTTGAGAGGGACTGTGACTAGAGCTTCATTTTTGCTCTGTGCTTTGTGCACACCTCGCGTCAAGGAATTCACATAGGGCTCCGGTTTGCAGTGCCACTAACCAGGAGGCGAGCGGGAGGAGCGGGAGCAAAATGGTGCTCGCGCAGAGGGCTGCGGTGTTGCTGGCTTTGTTGGAAAAACGGCCCTGGCTGCTTGCAGCATCTCATCTGAATGGTGCAGAAAGTGACAGAAACCTGCACCAATGGGAAGAGAAGCCAGGCCGGGTGACAAAGCACCCCAGGGCCAAGGAAGGGGGCAGTTCATTCAAGCCACGCACCAGGCGCACTGGAGAGCCAAGCGAAAGGCTGAAGATGCAGAGGAGCAAGCGGAGCCCTCTCAGTCCCCTTGGGTCTTCGGACAAGCGCTGACCTGGAGGCCGCAGTGCTGGCCTCTGGCTAGTTGCGCTGCCACCCCTTAACGCAACCCAGGCGGAGGCTGCTGAAGAAGCACAGCGGGTGAGTCACTGCAGCCCGGCTGCCATAATGTGGGGGAACAAAACCCAAAGTGGGTTGGGGGGAAGATACCCTGCCCGGCCATCAGATGTCAAATGGCTGCGGCCAGGCCCCTCTGTTGTGCTTGCCCGGGCCGAGTCTCCTACCTGGAGATGGGGCCAGGAAACCATCTCCACCGTACATGGCCTTGCCCTCCCTCCTCTTCAACCTGCTGAAGGGGGAAAACCTGAGGAAGTTGTGGGGGGACTCCAGCTGCACCAGCAAGGACCAGTTCTAGAAGACCCGGCATGTTGGCCTAGATGTCCAAGCTAAGGCATTTGAGGCCTGGAGCTACAGGAGTGCCACAGAATGCCCTATCCATCTGGTCACAGGTGGACCAAGCATCAAAAGTCACAGCAAATATGTAGCTGTGGGAGAGCATCTTTCACGCGGCATGGCACAAATGAAAACATGGCAGGTTGTTCCTCTGCTCCTTTTAAAGCAAAGCCAGCTCTCCGACAAGCTGCACCCTCTCTGCATGAGCTGTCCCCCTCGGAATCCTGCTTTTCTGGAATTTTGCCAGGGAAGAAATGCCTCTCCATGCAGGCAACATGACTAGCCTGCTCTCACCAGGTATATCCTGGTACGGCTAATTTTCACAGACTGGAGTCCACTTCATCAGATGCATGAAATGTCAGTTGGGCAACTGTGTTCATGGACTAGAATGTGAGGAAGTAGGGAAGGGATTTCTTCAGAAAATCAGAATTGTGAAGATTTGCAAAATTTACATAGTTCTGAGCCAAATGGTATGTCAAACTAGAACATTCAAAATCATCTTCTCCTACCCACCCACCCTGGTTGTCTTTTCTTTTAAAGCCCTTTACATTTTTTAAGGGAAGCTGCTGAAATCCAATTAAAT